CACAGACCTACACGTTGAAAAGTATATCCACAGACTATATTCACAAAAGAAAAAATTTGGGAAACAAGCCACTAAAGCAACAGTTACAAATGACAAAACGCATCCCCTTAGATGTGGCATATGGTAGGAATGCAAGATTCGAATCTTAACCTGACCTATGTCACCATCTTAACAACCTCCAGATTTGAATTCTTGATGAGTATGAATGCAAAATTGACTCTCTTTTTTGCCTATAAATAGACATATATAAAGAAGTATATTAGAGATTAGAATATTCTCCAAGTTTTGATTTCATTTTTTCATCTCAAAAGTGTCTTTCTAAACTTTCTTGTTATACTCCCTTTTTGCCTCATACTTATGTTTCCATAACTAAGGCCATCATTACAATACCAACCTTACAGCACCAATCTAAACTCTAAAAAAATTCTATTTCCTCAAATGTAAGGAAAGTTAGGAAATTGTTTTGCAAATAAAATTTAAGTTCATTTAAATATGAACCTAAAATATAGTAAGATGAGGAAACAATGCCTCTACTTATTAAGGACCACACATAAATTATACATTGTGGTATTTCTACTACAATGTTCAATAGGTGGCATTGAACTGGTTTTTAAATTTCAGATTCATATAAATTATACATATTAAATAATATTTTTTAATTTATTCTTTTTTGTTTACCTATATCTATTTTCATATTTTGATTATATGAATTAAGTATTATATTCACATCTAATATTGTAGCTAAACAATATAAAGGAGAAATATGTTCCCAATATTTTTTAAATTTAATTTCCATTTATTCAACAATATTGTGAAAATATTGTTCATTTCTATATTTTGAAAAACACTCACTAATTATAAATAATTGCTTAAGTAAAATAGGGGAAATTGGATAATAAATACCAAAAATGTTTACATAATCCTTAAATAGTTATAAAAATTCTTTTATACAACTTCTCATTTCCCAATCAAAATCTGTTATCATATTATTTGTTATTCTTTGCTTATAAAAGATTGATATAACTTATTTACATCGTATAATAATTTCTTTCATAGCATATTTGGAATTCCATCTATGTTGGACATCCAACACAAAATTTTTTGATTTTATTCTATATTGATGAAATAAATTTTTAAAATTTTGTTTTCTTGGACATGAATGTCTAATATACAAAATACAATTTCTAATTTTTTAACATATTCTGAAATAATGTTTAAACCATGCCATACACATAAATGTAAAAATATGACAAACACATCTAATGTGAAATAACTTTCATTCTAAAATAGGTTTTAATTGATATTTTAAAAGATTTATAGCTAGACCATTATTACTAGCATTATAAAAAGTAATTGAAAAAAAATTATCTTCTATACCATAATTATGTACAGTATTTAAAATACTAGTGGCAATAGTTGGATCAGTATGTGGTCATTCTAATCTTGTAAAACTTAATTTGTTTATATGTAAAATCCATTTTTCATCAATAAAATGAGCAGTTACAAAAATATAACTAATATCTATACTATATATAGAAGTGTGGATGTAGTGTAAAGCTTTTTTAGACTAAAATTATCCTCTATTTCTTTATTTGAGAAAGGGTATAAAAGTCAATTCATTATATCTTTAATGCCAAGTTTAGTGGCTACTAAAATGTCTATATTTGTGTATTTAATCCAACTTCAATTATTATATTACACCTCATTTAATCCATTCTCATAAAGTCTTATATTTAAGCTATTAAATCCCATTTTCTCTTATTAAATCCTATATGTTTTGGTTATTTCTATGAAATGATGTTTGAGGGGTGAAGAAAAATAAGAAATTGCATTGCTATTACATCTTCTATATTGAGAGAATTTTCTAAGAGCAGGAGTTTGAGAAAAGAGAACTCTCTCTGTGCTTAAATCAGTTTATGTGTGAAAAACCGAGTAGGCTTTGAGGCTTATATATTTCCCATATAGTTTGAGAAACTCTTCATGTACTAAATTTATTATTGTGTTGGTTTTCTTGCCATTGATATTATCTTGCTTGTATATGCTTATTGATGGTGTAAGATCTGGCGGCTCTCACGTGTCGAATGACTCGGATGCCAAATCGGATGTTTGCCTTGTTGATGGCCGAGCTAGCTAGCCGAGTTGTGTTGTTCTGCAAGAGAAAGAGTTAGAGTGTTCGGGCTGTTTGTACCTGGGGTGAGCATTCTAATGCTTAAGTCAGCGAAGAGTTATTAGAATTCTTGAGGATTTAGAGAGTGCGAGAGCTTAATTGCACGTACCTCTTTGGGTAGAAATGAGCCCTTTATATAGGTGTGAGTGACCAGAGACCTCTAGCAGCGGGTCTCATGTTCTCGCAGATATGTTTCTGTTAAGTTGGGAGAGTAATGACGTTTACGTAATCTACACAGGGGACTGAGGTCTGTCTGATTAACTTTGATGTGTGCGGTGTGGGTAGGCCGGCCTAATGGTTGACTCATCAATACTCCAGAGATCCCAAACTAGCAACACATCTATGTGACAAGTCATCGAGTGTGCCTTGTAGGTTGCAAGTGGTATTTCTCATAGCTCAACCAATTCAGAAGTAGGTCACTCCTAGCTCGGAGTCCTATTAGTTCGGCCGAATTGAGGTACTCTAGGTTGGCCTATGCGAGGTGCTACGAGCCAACTTGTCGAGGTGATCTACATATTCAACACCGAAGTATCACTTAGATGCCATGTATCGTGATGTCATTTAGTGGACCAAATTACCCCTCATCACTTATATTTGCCTAGTTAAAAGCTAATTACTTGTATTTGTGTTTAGTTTGTTATAACATTTGTAACCTGTTAGTGTTCTAAGAGGTGAACAGCAAGTTGTTGGTAGGGATAGCACTAAGAAAGCCTATCTAGGTGTAGTAGGCACTTGAAAGCCCTATTGGGTTGTATTGGTTTGATTGCCACCGTTAAGTTTGGTCGGTTTGTGGTAGTGAAAATTTCAGGACGGTCCTGAGTAGAGGATGTGGGCCAGGGTTGGCTGGTCATGTCCTAAAATCCCTTTATGTGTTTTATCTTTCTTGTAATCATTATTTTCTTATGTACTATTTTTTATTACATATTTAGTCTGTTGCATTCAAACAATAGCCTTTATATTGATTGGTATTAAATACATTTTCTATGGAAGGTTCCCTATTAGGGATAACCATTTTATCACGGTCCAACTTGGTCTGCACAAGCCTGGCTTACAAATTTTAGATTTGCACTTAAGTTTTGTATTTAAGCCTGGTTGAGCTCGGTCTCACATAAGGCTCGTAAATTTTAGGGTTAGGTTTGGGTTTTTAAGCTCAAGATTGACTCGGCCTACATATATTTGAAACATATGTATTATATATAGGGGTACCAAATTATGGGTTATTTTTTGAAATCGAACCATTACTATTAGTTTTGAAATCACTAAACCAAAATCGAACTGAATCTATTGGTTCATCGAATTTGGTTTTTGTAATATATATAATGCGTATAATATATCATATCTATCTCTCTATAGATATAAATACACACCGGTTGATTTGATTAACCATCAGTTTTTTAGGTTTACCGAAAACTAAATTGATCGATTTTTTATGAATATATAAAATACATAAGCCTGGAATTATGTAGATGTAGATCTCGGCTCAGGCTTATGTTTTAGGCCTGGAACCTAGGCCTAGGTAGAGAAGACCTCTGCAACGAAGCCTTCTTCTCATTATATGCAATCGGCTATATGAATCCTATTTCTCCATTCCGTTTTATTCAGCCTTATATCTATCATTTCCTTTTTAACATACAGAGTCAACCACCAAAAAAAATCAACCCAACAACTTCTTAAATCATCCCACTAGCCTCTTCTCCATTCTTTTAAAGAAAAATTCCTAAAGGATATTTGTGTAGTACTAATGCAACGATATGCTCTAGAATTTATTCTAAGAGACTAGGTACAATTCCTTGATGCAACAAATTCTAGGTGGATGTTTGACTAGGTCAATCGATTTGACCAATTTCAACTTCAATGGGCTTGGGTTCAGGGTTCGGTCCATTTTATACCTTTTAGGCTCAGTTTGGAAGGAGTACAAATACAAATTTGTAGAGTATAAAACTTTATATTTTTGTATTATTTTATATATATTAGTAAACATATACGTTTAATTTCTAAACGGTTATGAGTGATCAGTTTTTGAATGGTTATAAGTGGGCAGTTTCTGAAGTGAAAGTAAATGACATATATGCCCTCTTTGTGCCCACTATATGCTTAGATAAGAGGGGTAGAAAATATCCAATGAAAATTCTAGAAAAAAAGAACATTCACTCATTTATAGCTAGTATAGATTTATACTGTATATATTTGTATTTGTACTCTTTTCAAACAGAGCCTTAACTGTATGCACCAAAAGAGAAAATAATAAGTCGTTTAATTCTGTTTTCAGCCGTTGTCAAACAGCGCCTTATCTTTCTTCTTTTTTCTTTTTTCTTTTTCTTTTTTTTATTTTATTTTATGACTGCGTGGACTTTAATGTATGCATTGCTGATGCCAACTAACTTAAAGAGCGAGCTAGGCCTACCCACCCATGGCGTGAGAAGAAAACTAGAAAGGGCCCTCATTAAACATTAAATAGAACTGGGCCTGGAATCAATCGTCAATATGGGAGTGGGCCCATCATTAAACATTAAAAAAGGCCCATCAAAGAAAATCTACCGGGGAGTGGGGAAAGCTAATTTGTGTATGTATCTGTATGACCTTTGTGTAATCATCACGGATCTTACTCCATTTCAACTCTATAGGGCTGTACCGAACCGAATTTTTTATAAAAAAATGAGTAACAAAAACTTGAAACGTGGCCATCAAGGCCTAGTTAGATTGCGACTAAATCTTCCACGTGGAAGGTTTTAGTTCTTTAGATCATTTTGCTTTACGACTCGCTTGGCCAACAGTAACCACATCCCACCCTCCACATTTGACCATGAGCATTGACTTCCCTCTCGTTCTTTGCTTCTTTAACGACTCAGGCGTACGTTAGACTCACCGGCCGAAGAAAAATCGAAGTCTTCTTCCATTACCAAATACCAATTTACCATTAGGGAGGGCCAACTGCCCAACACTTTGCCGTTCCGCCTCTTATCCTCTCCGACGATGAGAAAACGGTTTGGAAGCCGGAACCCAAGTTCCGACGTTCGGAGAACACCCGACCGGTCGAGTCTCGGCAGTAGAACACCTGACAGATCGAGTTTTGCTCCTAGCTCCCCTTATTCTGACGTCTCTAGTGTTCGCAGAATGGTTGCCGGATGGAATCCGGTGAAGATTGCAGCGAGGTCGTTTGCGGATGTGATTGGTGCGTGCTTTGCTCCCGAGCTGAAATCATCTAGAGGTGGAGGCCCTTACTCTAATGAATTTCGCGCTCCTTCTGGTAATTTATCTTCTTAGTTTATCACTTCAAATGGGAGAATTAATTATCAAGTAGATTATCTCGTGTTCGAATTTGAGCTTTCTATTGTTTGAGATTTCGATCCCCGGTGAACTTATATGGATTCCAGCAGTCAAATATATAGAGAAGTCTTAATTTCATACAAATTTATTTATTGACTGAAATCCCTGCTTTTCTTTATATATATTTTTGGTATTTTGTTTGATCTTGCTCACAATTACCTTGGTTCATAGTCTGTTCTATCTTCATAGTGACGATTGTCTGTGAAAGTCTTTTGAATTTTTGATACCTATAAAGATTTATTTCTCCACTTTGTAATTTTCGTTTATGGAACATAAGAAGATGAAGAAAGTTTTTTGATTAATTTGTTTATTCTCTTTAGTTGCGTCGGAAAGTTCAGTTTCTGGTAGAGAAAAGAGACGCAGTTCAAACCGAGGGGTCAATTCTAGGTCCTACAATTCAACCCAGACAATGGAACCTGGGAGTGTGAAATTCACTATCGCAGAGATCTACAAGGCTACCAGGAACTTCTCCCCCACTTTAAAGATTGGACAAGGAGGGTTCGGTACAGTCTACAAGGGTCGATTTGAGGACGGAACCCTCGTTGCAGTTAAACGTGCGAAGAAGGTTGGCCAGCCAGCGATTGCTTTAACCAGATTGTTTCTTAGTTCTCTTTCTATGTTTAGGAGCCTAAAACAGAGAATAGAGTTCGGTGCAATGTGCAAGCAATGGGGTCTGATCATGTTTCTGGTTTCACTTTCATTGCAGTCTATCTATGATAAGCATTTGAGCGTGGAGTTTCAAAGCGAGATCCGGACATTGGCACAAATCGAGCATTTGAATCTGGTCAAGTTCTATGGGTATATAGAGCAAGAGGATGAAAGGATTGTCGTTGTTGAGTATGTTCCCAATGGAACCCTTAGAGAACACTTGGATTGTGAGTTCTTCTATCTACCTCTACCCCTGATTGGCGATTNCCCCCCCCTTATCCCATTAATTAATGAATTCTTGAAACTTGAAATGGAGGAAGAGTTTAAGGGAATGAATGAATATGACACAGGCTTGCATGGCAACACTCTCGACCTTGCTGCAAGGCTGGATATCGCCATTGATGTGGCTCATGCGATTACATATCTTCACATGTACACTGGTATGAATCCAACCATCTAAACTTACTCTGGTTTTTCTTACATTAGCGCTGAACAAATTCATTCAGATTGGATTATGGGACTGTTGCATGCAGATCATCCTATTATTCACAGAGACATCAAGTCTTCGAATATCCTTCTCACAGAGCATCTTCGTGCCAAAGTGGCTGACTTTGGTTTTGCTCGCTTGGCTGCTGACGGTGATACGGGACAGACACATGTATCTACCCAAGTTAAAGGAACTGCAGGATACTTGGATCCTGAGTATATGAGAACTTACCAGCTCACTGAGAAAAGTGATGTCTACTCTTTTGGGGTGCTGTTGGTGGAACTAGTCTCAGGCAGGCGACCCATTGAACCCAAACGGGAACTCAAGGAACGGGTAACTGCTAGATGGGTATGTTTTTCTTCTTTCTCTCTTGTTTTAATTTCTTCCTGTGTCACAAGGTTACAGCTACTAGTGGCATTGCAAGAAAATTAGTTTGTATTTTGATATCATTGCCACTTTTACTTATAACGTTTTTAGGTTGGTCAATACAAATTTTAGTAGAATATATTTTTCCTACCACAAATGTTTTAAGTTACCACTACAATATTTGGTACCATTGCTGTTTCTTCGCCAAATTTGATGTTTCTACCATAAATGCCAACAACCAATCCAATGCCTGTAATTTTGGAAAAATTATAATTTGAGCCGGCTCAACATTTAAAATGATTTTGCAGGTTGATTCAAAAACCAACAAAACCCTGACAACTGACCGTACATTTCATATCATAAAAACCCCGCCATGTCATTGGAGGGTTACGAGGCTCTTGCCAACATAGGACTTTTAGTCCATGTTGGACACAGTAAAAAGCCTATACTAAAAATCCTTTTTTATTTTCAAATAACCCAGCATTAATGCCAATTTTGGTATAGGCTTTTTGTATGTCTGACATGGGTTAAGAGTTTCATGTTGGCAACAGTTACATAAGCCTCCGATGAAATGGCAGGGGTTTTTATAATTTGAAATATAGAGTCAGCTGTTAGAGTTTTGCTAGTTTCTGAACCAACCTGCAGCCTAATTTAAATGTTGAACCGGCTCAAATTATATTTTTCCCTATATTTTTTAATGAAAGTGGTTATCTAATCTGATGTAATAAGACCATTTCTCAAAAATTCGTATGAACCAACCTAAAACATTGCAAGTGACAATGGTACCAAACACAACCTTAGTGAGAGCTCTGTTTTCTATTAGAAATGTGATACATAGACAGACAATTTGAATTTGTGGGAAACCAGGCAATAAAGAAATTCACCGATGGTGATGCTATTCTCACGTTAGACCCAAGGCTAGAACGGACTTCTGCTACTAACTTAGCAATAGAAAAGATTCTCGAGCTAGCCTTGCAATGCTTGGCTCCAACCAGACAGAATCGGCCTAGCATGAGGAGGTGTGCAGAGATTCTATGGAGCATCCGTAAGGATTACAGACAGGTGTCAGCGTCAGACTTCCGCTCTCTCTCCTCTCATTCCCACAGAAGTGCTTCCACAAGAGAAGAGTAAGAGATCCAGCGTGTTAGCTTTAAATTTTTAATTCAGAGCTGCATCAGAGATTTAGAATTACAAATTACTGAAGATTGTTGAAGTTCCAGGATGGAGAGATTTGGGGATTTTTTTTTTCTGTTCCGGGATAATCCACCCATTTGGACCTCTACCACGAGGCTCTCAACTGATTGGTTGCTTGCAGATTTCAAGAAAAGGATTGGCTCTACATATGAACTTCAAATTTGTCAAATGGAGTTTTGTAATTGGTTTGCATAATTTATTTATACATAGGCCTGTAAATGTGTGCTTGTATCGACTATCAATGGTTTCATTTCCTTATTTTACTAATATTTTTGGGGACTTGGGGGTCGGCTCACTCAAGCGTGTAATGTCTTTAGATATTGTTGATTTGAACCATCTTCTTTTGGATATCAAGGTACCTATCTTAAAATTGCTTCATACCAATATCTTTGAGTGGGTTCAGTTTGGGAAGAATTCAAATACAAAATGAAGCTAGAACTCAATTTGTATTTCTAAACCTTGTTTCGTATTGTACATATTTGTATTTGTATTCTATTCAAATTGAGTCTTGAACTCAGTCTACTGTTTATTTTCTTTTTTTAAGACATGTTTGTTAGTGCCCTTTTTTGCCTTTCTTTTCAAACCACCATTTCATGGGACTGTTTAGACTGTTTCCAATCTCCCCAACTCTATATATATAACTTTCATGCTTCAACAAATGCTCCAACTTGGTAAAAATGCTCCATAGCTTTCATTAATAGGTATTTGACAAGTTTCAAAGCATGAAAGACAAAAAATTTGGTCTTTCCGTGTTTCAAAGCAGTCTAGTGCCCAAAAAGACCGAAATAATCAAAATCAAGAAGTTTCAAACGAAGTTATTGGTCTTTACGCGTTTCAAATAGTCTTGTAATCTGTGTTACAGTCAGTAAACCCAGATACTCACCAAATCTTTGATCTTTTCTTTTCTCACTTATAATATATTCCAACTGTTGGAATATATTTTTTTTGGCGCAAGAAGTTAAGTAGGGCCCAATATTAAATTAAATCGAAAGGGGTTGCTGGGACCACTAAGAGGAGTGATTTTTTAGGTGGGACCCAGTGTATTGGCCTATTAGCTCAAGGAGTACTATAAAGGAAGTGATTTAATCACTTCATTTCCAAGTACACCAGTCTTACAGAGATCAAATTGGAAAGAAAATAACACATTGGAACTTGTCACTAAATGACAGACCGACAAAATTTTAATTATGATTTGGTATGGGCTTAATTGATCGAATATGGAAGGAAATAAGGGTGATTAATGGGCTGAATGATATGTGGGCCCAACCCCTTTGCCAAATGGCACTTGATTTCAAGTATTGGGATTTTAGTCAAACCAATTTAACTTAATCAGGCATGTTGGGAATTGATAAATTGAACATTGAATCATCAAATTTGTGGGTTTCATGTCAATTAACAATAAATGGTGATTAATTGAATTGCAACAATGATGGGTGGATTCGGATCAATTCAAATCCTTGGACCATCTCATCATCTAATGGTGAACCTCTATAATCTCTAGCCCTCCTTCAGTTTTTCTCTCCTTCGGCTCCCCCTTCAACTACCCAATTCCTCTCCATTACTTCCGTTACTTTTGACAAAGAAGAAGAAACGGGCTGCACCAAGATCAAGGGAAGAAAAATCAGAATTTTGGCTCCTCAGCCATTGAAGCTTCGAAACTGTTAAAGCTTCATACAATGTCGGCAAAAGGATTTCGACCTTTGAGTTGCTACAACCAAAAGCTCCATCAAATTACTACAACCAAAAAAAGATAGAAAATTCTCCTATCTTGTGCACGTACAATTGATCGTTGCAAGTTCTTTTTACAACTACAAGTTGTCAAGATTTTCGGATCGTGTTCGTGACAAGGTACAAGTACAAGTTTGGGTTGTATTCGTGACAAGAGAATCAGAGTTTTCTTTTCAAAAAAAAAAAAAAAAGAGTTTGTATCCCACTTAAATTTCTGCAAAAAAAAATAAATTTCTTTGAATTTATCCGCATTAATTTTTGTTCTCCAAATTTAGCACGAAATTTGTGTCGATAAATTTCAGGCACGCCTAGTGGGACATCTCCTTCCTCTCATCTCTCAAGTCAGTACATCAAGTTTGTTTTGGCAAACGGTTTGGACACATGGCTCCAAAGAAAACCATTTCAAGTGTCTTTGAAAACAAGAAAAATACCACATATAGCTCAAGTTCATCCAGTTCAAGTGCTTTGCCAACTTCTAAGTATGAGAGACCAACCACTTGTCGCATGACGACGTACAAGAATTCACAATTGGTTGCATCTCTTGCTCCCTATACAATTCTAGTGGTCCCTTCAAAAATCCGAAACACCAAAACGGAACCTTTAAGGCTACTAATGGTGAAGGACGCTACTAAGGAAGGGGTAGCTCTGAGAAAAGAATTGAACTCAACAACTCCATTTGAGCATCCAAGTGGACAAATACCCGTGTCGGATGTGGAATCTAATACTGGCTCAAGGTCTGACTCTCATCCCAACTCTCCTAAGACCGGAGGGTCGTGGACTCGCTCCTACACTTCAGTAGCACCCATCATCATGGCTGGAGCTACTATAGTGGGAGAACAACTTGTTGAGATGGCTACGGCCATCGCTAAGTTAACAAAGATGGTGGAAGACAAGGACCTTCAAATTGCTTCTCATGAACCGAATGGAACAAATGCAAACAACGACATCCAGCCAAGGGCCTTCATACCCACCAGGGTTCACCCCGCAAGTAGACCCTCCTCTAGAGGAGTTACCACAATGTACTAGCATACGAGATGCCCAACATGCTTCAGTCGCCTCCCTCTCAGTACAACAACATATTGCGCATACACTGAGAGCATTGATCATAGTCATCATCGGTGTTTACTAAGCCATACACTGAGAGCATTGATCATATGCCTATGTCGTTAGGGTACCAGCCCCCGAAGTTTCAACCATTTGACGGGAAAGGTAACCCCAAGCAACATATTGCGTACTTCGTTGATACGTGCAACAATGTCGGGGCCTATGATGATTTGATGGTAAAGCAATTTGTACGATCTCTATGAGGAAATGCTTTTGACTGGTACACTGACCTCCCTTTTGGATCAATTGATAGTTGGGATCAATTAGAAAGAGAGTTCCCGGATCGCTTCTACAATACTCGACGTACTGTAAGCATGTACGGACTTACTACCACCAAACAGAGAAAAGATGAACCAGTCATTGACTATATTGACAGGTGGAGAAATCTCTACCTCAATTTTTGAGACAAGCTCTCAAAAGCTTCAACTATTGATACTTGTATTCAAGGCATGCGATGGGGTTTGCATTACATCCTCGAGGGAATAAAACCCGAACATTTGAGGAATTGGCCACCCATGCCCATGACATGGAACTTAGCTTGGCTACCTTTAGACAACATCACCTGGATAATTTCCAAAAGGAAAAGGAAAAGAAAGATGGAGAAAATCAGACAAAATTGTCTAGGCCGACGCAAGTTCTAGCAACCTCAATAGCCCCTCTCAAGGTTATTGGGAAGAAAAAAAGCAAGAAAGAAATGAAATCAAATATTCATCAAGAGAAAGAAAATCAAAAGCTCATTCTTAAGGAATTGGAAGTGAAGGTGTATCCATTCCCTGACTCAGATGTCCCTGAAATGTTGGATGTCCTTCTAACTGTAAAGTTATAGAGCTTCTTGATAGTAAATGCCCAGAAGAGGAAGGAAAATTGAATAACCGAAGTATTGTCATTACCATTGGGTAATTAACCACCCAGTTGAGAAATGTTTTATCCTCAAAGACAAGATAATGCAATTGGCTGAGTCAGGAGTGGTCGAACTAGATCCAAGTGATGACATAGCGACCACCAACATGTCAACTATTACATTTGGATCCTTTAAACCTAAAGCTCTCCAATTCCCTCATCGTCCTATCATCTATGAACTTATGTTGGGGGCATCACTAAATTAAACACAAAATCCCCACTGACCCTTCTACTTGTGGCCATACATTAGGGGCCTAAATCGAGCACAAACACAGGCCTTAACTCCCAAGGGAATTCCTCCACCCCGGTCCACCACCTTACTCTCAAAAGATGATTGGGCCCTCATTACACGTCAAGAGCATCATGCGACACACCAATCCACTCTACCTTGTAGACAATCAAAGCAATTTAAAAGGAAGGCTCGACCACAGAAACCCCCTAAAAGCAAAAAAACGACAAAACAAGAACAATGCTATCCAACCACCGTAAGTGGTAACTAATGAAGTTTTGAAACAAGTCCCTCGACTTCCAATTACTCTACAAGAGTACATACAAAAGGAATTCTTTTCTAGAGGATGTGTAGTTGTGCATATAGTCACATGTTACGCGAAAAGAAAATAAGTCAAATTAATCAAAATATGCTCTGGGGTATGAGTCTAAACTATCCATGCTCCCAGATACGAGTATAAACTATCTATTAGAAGGAAAAAAAACTCACTCAATTCATTCCTAGACATGTGCCTAAACTATCTATGCTCCTAGATACGAGCCTAAACTATCCACAAGACTCTAGGGCATGAGTATAAACTGCTTTACTCAAAGTTTGCTCCTAGATACGAGCATAATATATAGGTTAAACAAATTCAATTTTATGCATCTATCTTCGTAAAAATGCATATATATAATATACATATGAATTCGATCCGATGAGCAAATGGATCAAATTTTCTAATACAATCTGATCTAATGATTCGATTATATATATTTGATTCGATATATTATCGGACCATCGAACAAAGATAGGTTAAAAAAAATTCAATTTTGTGCATGTATCTTTGTAAAAATGCATATATATAATGTATATGTGAGTAGTGTGGTAAGGCTACGTACGGGGATCTCCTTGAAGGACGAAGAAAGGCTGAGGGAAAAGGGTAGGCTAAAGGCTATGATTGACAGAATGTTGTTCTCGTTATGAGTTAGACCTCCTTTTATAGGGAAAGATCCTGAGGCCCCAAAAGGAATGAGCTAAAAGTGTTTAATTATCACTAGGAAATGGAATCTTTGATTCAGTGTCAGTTTTCAGGGAATACCGCTAGGGTTTTACCACGTGTCTTATGAGATATCTCAAGGATGAGGTTTCTTTTTGTTTGAGGATTCTCACATATGCTACTTCTTTTTGCGAGTCTCCTAGACTGACGTGGCATGGATGATGTCATTTCCAATCTTATGTGTCTCTCTTAATCCTATTGGGTGTCTTATCATGAGTGACGTTGGTTAGTCATCATGTTCCTTCATGCATCGTTGATACACGATGGTCGTAAGCTCATTACAGGTTTGCGATGGCTTTGAGCTCATTGCAACCTTGCGATGGCTTTGTGCTCATCGCAGGCTCGCGGTGGCCTTGAGTATATCTTCAGTATTGTGGC